CTCTCTCTCTCTCTCTTTCGCCACTCTCTCTCTTTCTCCACTCTCTCTCTTTCTCCACTCTCTCTCTCTCTGTCTCTCTCTTTCTTTCGCTCTCTCTCTATCTCTCTCTCTCTCTCTCTCTCTCTCTCTCTCTTTCTCTATCTATCTCTCTCTCCCTCTCTCCACTCCCTCCCCCCTCACTCTCTCTCTTAAACCGTCCTCCCTCCCTAGAACACTGACAGTTTATAAGCTTTCTGTGTATCCACATTTTCTGATTTCATCATGTTAAATGTAATTTTCTTCTCATTATACATTATGATTATAACATTCATGCATTGTGTATCATAGGTCTATTATGTAATATTTTAGTGTATTTTTATATTTTATTGTAAAGGAGAAAGGGGGAGAAGAAAGTATAAAATTGTAATATATGTTCAATTTAGTTCTTACATCTTTTCAAGCAATATTATTGAACAGACTTCAACTTGAGATTTCAACTGTCATCTTTCTCTTGGTTTTACATTGTTCATAATTATTGGTCAGCGAGAATCATCAACTATAATAATAGTTTGAGAAAAAGATTTGAAACAGCCGAGATTGTAACTATTATTCTTACATTGTTCCTTCTTGAATGTCTTCTCCAGTCCCCCACTTCCAAGACGCAGTATGTCTCATCTAGTGAAGCTCTGCCTACAGAACCAAAGCTGAAACAAAAGATTGCAACTTTGTTCACTCTCCTGTTCATAGCCTGGCAGTGTTTTCTTCCCTATTCACATGGTATCACAAAGGTATGATGTCCTCAGTGAAATTTATAAATGACATTATGGTTGTGATTGTAACTCTGACAGCAAATAAAATTGTGTTTGTGAAAGAACTTAACGTATTTGTATGTCCAGGTTATTTAAGTTTCACCACTCCTTAAAAATGCTGGCAACTTATTTTTTAGCAGTATTGATCATTCATATACACTGTATTTATTTCTGAAAAACTGTGAAATAATCCAGCACTGGTCTTGACAACTTACTTAAATTGTGATATTTACTCCTCTATAATATGTTGAAACCAACTCAGCAATAATAGTTTAACAGAGAATTCTTTTGCAACCAAACAATTATTGAATTGCAGTCAATAGAAATAGTATAAAGACAACATACATGTTCATGCTGCTCAATTAGTTTAGTCTTCGCTATGGATAATCTGGTCGTGAGCAAAACCTCACATGTCTTGATTGGAACATGGTGACCTGTTTGTATTCTTCATAAACAAAATACCTGCTCTCTACATCCTCTGCCAGGGCTACAACAACTGGACCAATGGCTTGTACGGCTACTCCTGGGACATGATGGTGCACAGCTGGTACATCCAGCACGTACGGATCACGTATTATGACAAGGATACTGGACAGTCTGGATATCTTGACCCTTTGGTCAGTCTGGCACAATTTGCTCATATTTTCTTTCCCCTGTATGTTTCAATGGATTATTACCTGCACTCTCAGGCAGTATATAGGGATAGGAACAATTTGTGTCACGACACGGTGGAATCAATTGTCAATTTTTGTGCATATGAAGTTATTGGTGTCATCTTATCTCTTGTTCATTTGTCTTCCTTTCAATTAAAACAGTAGGCCTACCTATCTATCTTGAATAGAAGTCAAGATATTTTCGAATGATGAAGGTAGGGGTGGCCTGTTTCAGAGGTAAAACTAGCAAGATAATGGCTCCTAAAATGTGGTGACTTCCAAAGCTTCAGAGTCCGTGGAAACTACAAATTTACATTTTTTGTGTTTTACCAGTTTTTCAGTAAATTTCACACAGAAATTAATTTTAAAATGGACGGGAAATGTGTTGAGCCAAAAACAACAAAAATTCTATAAAATTTGGCCAAGGGGCAGAAAAATGACGGTTTCTTTGATTTATATTGTTGTTACTTGGAACATAAAACAACGTTTAACACTACTAGCCTTCTGTCTGCCTGCGCCTACAACAGGAGTTAGCCCAACCTGTTTCTCTCTGTGTTGTGATCCTTTCCTTAGCTTTGGGGCCCCGATGCATTGGAATCTCACAAGTTACACACAAATAAACCGAGGCTCTAACTAGCCTTTTCTCCACTCTCGGCAGGCCTCCTCTGCCTTGCTACAGCTCTCCCCTCTAAAAGTCTCATCAGTAGTAACCCAGACTGCTTTTGTAAACTTGCAAACAATACAACTGAACTGAGGCTCACACTTTACTCACTCTCTCACTTTCAGCCAAACAATACAATAGGCTAGGCCTAACCCCCCTGCCACAACCAAAAACAACCAAATAGACCACATATATATTTGACGAGCGCCTGATTTCACCACGATGCCTCACATTTTATTTAATTATCAAGAGATTGTCATAACGATCAATTAACTGATATTGAATTACAAAAAAAATGATGGAAATATGGACAGTAACAACCGCAAACCATAAAAGTCTGAAATCGATCAAGTTTTGTTTTTGTTTGAAATGATCATTTGACAACCCTCTGCATCATATCTCAGTTTAGTGCAAGTTTGCGAAGCAACACGTCTAGCACAAAACGTATATATTTTCATTTTTCTTGGCTTGTTTAACGATCACTCAATGTTTTCCTTTAATTCTAAAGTAGTTATATCAGTCTTACATGGTTTATTACTGTTACCATATATCGCACCATCGTTATGAACATAGCCATAATTTGCATATATAGAATATGTGTACTATTAATATCAAATTGATTAATTACTGTCTGGGAGTTGTTTGGACTGGTGAATGCATGTTTAATGTCGAACTTGCTCTAACATTCACCTGTCCAAGACAACCACCTATACAAACCACCACTTCTCGCTCCACCCTTGCGTTTTTTCTATATATATTATAATGAAACTGTTTAAAAAAGTTTCAATTGTAGATATTATTTTATCTTGTTTCTACATTTTTGTTGTTATTTTAATGTCCTTTTTGACTAATTATTTGATAAGCCCATTCTGCATTTTTGTTCTTAGCAATAATTATACACCTTAACTCATCATGAACTCTTAACCAACTACAGTTCTTTTTCTTATGATGACAATTTTAAGATATTGGATTTCAGTAGTTCGTTTAGTATTACTTCACAAACATTTTCCCTAGCTGTCCATTATTTTATTTAAATTTAATCTCTGTCCCTCAGGTGTGGGGAGGAAATCGCCGGTGGTCCTCCCATGCTGACATGATCAAGCAGTATTCTTTGTGCATCGCAGAAAACCTAAAGAGCTACAATATCAACAATGTAGAGATCTATTTTGATATCTGGAGGTCGCTCAATCACCGTTTTCAGCAGAGGTCAGTGTACAAGTTTTGCCTGAGGATAGGCTGTTATCTTTCATTTCATTTATCAGATCTTTTCAGATATACTAAGCCCAAAATTTTGAAAATGGTGTTATTGCAGTTTCTTAATCTGTGATATTGATTTCATGTGCTTGAGAAATATGTTGTCAAAACTCATAGTCTGAATATATGAAGAATAAAAAGGGAGAGCAAGAAAAGGTACAGGTACCACTTTTAACAGAATGAAACAGTTTTTTCATCCTTCTCTCCTAAAAAGACTTTGCTTTCTAGACTTACTTCTGTTGAATAGAATAATGTATTGACACTAATGCATGCTTTTGTTCTTAATATCAGATATGCACACTCTTGTACTTTAATCACCAAAGAATTGCTCCTTTTTCCCCTCTGGGGTCTAATCATTTTCTATAGCTTTATTTCTTTCATTTGTATTTAGTAAAAATGTCAAAAGTACAGTACAATAATATATGTTCCCCCAGACTTTTTACAAACTTCACCTGTGAGCAACAAACAAAATTAACTCACTTTTTGTCAGGAAAGTGCTTTCATAGAACCTGTAACTGAACAAAGTTTTCAAGTATGGTTTGTGGAAGAACAGTTAATTTTAAATTTGATGACTTTTGAGGAATCTAAGGAATCTAAACTCCTGTTCAGGTTGCTATTCAATCAGGCAGCTTTCAAGTCAGAGTCATATTTCTAATTTGTCCTCATACCTAAGTCACTTGATTAAAAGTGCATTACTAGTTTCCACAAGATTATAAAGGTCTGGTATCGCACACAACAGACCATGGGGTGTAACCTGTATGAAACTGACTACAAAGTTCTTCTATCCAAAGGACGGTACACCCTCATGTGGACATTGTTACGGCGGAGTGGAGTCCCTTCCGTGAGGCACCCTGGGTGATGCCCCTTATGGTCGGGTTGTCAGACTGGCGAGGGAAGCTGGAGGAGATACAAGCCCGGCTGGACAACGGGACTGATTCACACGTGGAGGTCGTTTTTGTTGCTGACTTCCCAGGTGAGGAATTTATTTAGTCAATATCAAACAGTGTGCTGTGAGGGAGGAGGTTGAAGTATGAGGCATGGAAGAGGGGAAAGGGAGGGAGGAGATATGAGGGAAAACGAACGACAAGATTCTGTTAAATTTTCAATTTATCCCTGCAAACGTTTATAGAGCAGATGCTGTGTATTTGGTGTGCAGAGACTGATCAAAAGCAAACAGCAAAGTGGACTATCTTTGTGAATTTGTAGAAATGCTGACAAGAATTTGCAAGAGAAAAGGAAGACTGGGTTTCTCTTTGAAAGTATTATTGTAAATGCAGTCATATAAAGTTTAGAAATTTCTAGTCTATAAATCTATCTTGCCCTTTTTAAGTCCCAGTGGAGCATAGGAAATCAACAACATTTATTTCTCCATCGAAGCCTGTCCTGTGCATCTTTTTCTAGTTGTTTCCATGATGTCCCTGCCTTTTCCATTTCCGCATGTCCTGCTTCGCCTCCATGTCATGTTTGGTCTTCCTGTCCTACATTTTCCTTGCGGATTCCGCGTCAAAGCTTGTCTGATGATGCTTGTCGAGGGTCTCCTCTGGGTGTGCCCAATCCATTTCCATTTCTTCACCTGTGTCTATAAGTACTCATCCGTAAAATGTATTTTTTTTAAACGTCTTTGGTCAAGGTTGAAAATGAAAATGTAAACAAAGCACCCACTCCCTTGTTGTCCAAGAGTAGCTCATTTTGCCCACAGACCTAGAATGATAGGGCTCTGACTCCACGACACGCACACTCATATATGACCGTATGCAGTTGCGAGCGCCTTAAAACATTTACGTGTACCAAAAAAAAAATGTTTAGAACTTAATGAAACATAGTTTTCAGGAAATGGGATTAAAACATTTTTTTTCCAGCTTAATATTGTTTGTAAAACCTTATTAAGTTTTTTTAAGCACCAGGCTGAAAAAAATACAGGAATACAGGTAAGACTGTCTTGAGCAGTTGACACAACATGCAGTGTGTAATTCAGTTCTTTCTAAAAGATGAGTTGTTTTAGTCAAAGTTTTATGGCACTTGCAACACAATTAGTTTTGAAAATCAAAGATGTTACAAGAGCGTAACAAGAGCAAAGAAAAGAAGGATGATAGATGTTTGATAGGAAAGAAGGAGTTACGTTGGATTCATGTCATTTTAAGTGTGCGTTATGTAGATCAGCACCTACAGGTCTTCTCAGTCAGTGACGCTACTTGCCTGGATCTACACTCTCAGTATCAGCAACAATGTAGAGCCACGGCATCCACAGTATTCATGTTGTGTTTTATAACTTTACCCATATGATAAAGGAAGGTGTTCATTATTTTTCCAATGTCCAGTACAAACAATATCAAAGCCACACTTTTACTTTTGAAATTAAACACAAGACATTTTTTATGAAATTACAAAACCATTAAAGAGAAGCTGGAGCTATCACTATACATGGCATCGTATTTAAGGAAGAAAACCTATTTAGCATTGGATTGATGAGAACAATGATTTTCCTCTGTTTCCTCGTCATGCTATTCTGTGAATTCTAAGAAGTTTCACTTATTGATAACTGTCTTTTCTTATGGGAATAAACAACTGTTTTTCTTGTTTTCTTTCTTTTTTAGTTTTTCATTTTCATCTTAGAACTTCGTGTTTGCTGTACATTTGATTGCTTAGGTGTCTTCTACAATGTCTGAGCTCCGATATTTGCATTTTGTGCAGGTTTATACCTAGAGAACTACGTCCAGCCAGACTTTGGAAACACGAGTCTCTCTGTGTTAGACGGCCGGGTTATTGTTGAGCTGTTGGATGAGGGACGGAACATCAGCCTTGGACCTGGTGATATTGTACAGGTATCTGTGTGCATGTGTTTTTGTTTGTTTGTACGTGAGTACGTGTGTGTACCTGTGTGTTCATATTTCTCAGTTGAGTGTGCCTGGCTGTGCTATGTGGGGAAGCTGTTCTGGAAATACTAGCTAAAGGGTATAACATTAGCGTAAAATTTATCTCATCCAGATGTGTGTTGTATGAATGTATGTATGTGCATGCGTGCATGTACTCATGTTTTGTTCATCTGTATGTTGTCCGAGCATTGTTTGATAGCCAAAATAAGAGTCTGTTTCAGTCATAGTCATACTTATTAGTATTACTTAATTTTGAATCATGTACTTCTAGGGCCTTTCAAAAACATAAACTTTTTGAACCAGTGTCTGTCATATTATAATGTGAGACATATTATATACATCAGATAAATGTATCAAGTCAGAATTGATCAAACATGTCGCTTTTGCTTAATAAGGATTGCCATTGTACTTAATTTATCCAGCTTCTACATTATTGCCTATTTAAAATGACTCTTTCCTCATCTCTGTCCCGTACATTTTTGCAGATTCCACCAGACACATTCCACAATGTACACACCGTGTCAGAGACACCCTCATGTTACATGTACATGTTTGTCAATACCACTGAGGTCAACTTCATGCGCAAATTCTCACAGTTTGAAGACGACCTCAACAGCTCATCCTCTGGTAAGTTACATCTTTTTCTAAAAAATTTACTGCAACTGTTTGATGCCTCATCTTGTGTTGGTTATTCCTCTACTTATGTATCCACATTTCTCCCCATCTTTGCAACTCTTTCATAACCATAAAGTGGCAAAAGCACCAAAAAAATCAAATCAAGTACCAAACATTTACAGGAAATTAACTGCAAGTAATCTTGTTTTGATCTGTTTTGCAAAACCTACTTTCTGAACTCAGGATTTGTACGATTTGTGTGGTAATTGAGGTAAATCTGTAGATGTACATATGTATAATCGTCAATGCTATCAAATCTATAGTTTTGTTTTGTTTTCTGTTCCATTCATTATGTCAAATTTCTCAGTATTAAGCTCTACATTATATCACTATAGTAAAAGAAACAATTGATTTGAAGGAAGAATTTTGTTGTTTTTTAATGTGATGTCATATCAGTGGTAACTATGTAAGTCTGATAATACTTCTTTCAAGGAAACATTAAGCAAGTGTCAAACATGCCATAGAAAGCAGAAATTGATTTTGGTCTGACATTGCATTTTTGTCATTTCACCCTGTAAACTTATTGCACTTTATCAAGACATGATGCAACAGAGATTCCAGGCAACCTTTTCAAAGAAAAAAAAACTTGACCTAATTTTGGAGCCAAGGCATGGTGTGCAACTGTTACTGGCAATATATTGGCAATCTTCAGCCATCTCTCGAACCTCACAAGACACACTCATGTTACCATGCATGAAAACTAGAGAGAGCAACAAACAGAATTTATTTTCTGAGACTCATCTTCAATGAAAATTTATAGAGAATCAATTATCCATCACTCTTGCTTTGTTTCATTGAAACAAGCCTCAATAAGCCATTAAGGTTTCTGAAAATGATTTTAATAGAACTGATGAACTTCAATATGAAGAGAAAAAGTAAACCTGTATAACCACTGCGTATCGTTTTTTTTTTTCTTCTTTATCTTTGAAAGAAAATTACATAAAGCTCGAACACAAAAACAGACTAGTCAAACTAATTACGCCGCACTAGAGGTCCAAAGTCTATGTGGTTTGAGGTGCACTTCAGACAAAATAATAATGATAATAATGAAAACAGAAAAAGGCAAGGTCGGTTACTACCCCCCCCCCCCTTCCACAGAAGCATTGCTATTTTTAGCGCGCTGCTATCAACGCGCGTGTCTAGTTCCTATGCCTAGCTAGACTTGTGTGGAGCTGGCAAGAGGAGGGGTTGTACATCACACGATCGGCCGCCCCACCCTTCTTTGCAAAGGACTGCATGCTTGGTGGGAGAGGTGGGGTAGGGTTGCATTGTTTCGTCATCGCGTTGTTGATTACTGATGCGATTTGCTCATCTTGTCAAATTTTTTATGTTTTGAAAAGGCACCTTTTGATTGGTGCAGACTAAAGACTGCTCACACTGACCCGTGCAGTTAAACTGTCTTGGTACCAGTAGGCTCATTTGCGATCGAACTCGAAAGTGTTGCTCATTGTTTTTCTCATTCACTATCAATCAATTTCACATTCTCTCAAATTTCAAATTCAAGTCAATAGGCATAGATCTAACCTACATGAATATACAACAATGCCCGAAAAAAGAAAAATCTCTGTTCTGACCCAATCGTTGTTGCTTCCCTTGATTCTCTGACACAGCCAATGTCATAACACTGTTCACGTATCCCTCGAACTACGGATCCCTTGAACTACTGAGACCCATCCTGACGAATTCAAGCAATCCGTGTTATACTGTATTATAGTCAGCTTATTTTTCTCTTCATACAGGGTACAGAAATTCATTTATGAAAGTAATAATTTAAATTCTCTAAATACCACATGTATTTAACCATAGTGTCTGTAAGGTGTTAATCTTATCTTATCTTATCTTATCTTATCTTCTCAGTGACATGAAAGAGGGCATCATAAATATTTTGCTTTGAGAAAAAGCTGTGTTTGAATTTATATATTCCGAATTAATTCATTTTTTATACCATTTTTTTTTTCTTACCTCAAAATATAAAGTAAACCTTTCAAATGCCTTTTATTGTCCACAGTGAATGAGACTCTCAAGAAATATGATGACGATCCTTACCTGGTTCACTATCAAAATATTCTGGCTGCCAAGCAGGCAAAGGAGTTAAAGGAGTATAACTTTTGGCTCCAGTTCAAGTCGTTTTTATTAGCTAAATACAAGATTTTAAGAAGAAGGTGAGTAGGGAATAAATTCAGGAATTGCTTAGTGCAGTAGGCCTTGCATGATTTAATTGCTAGATATCAAATTGGAAATTTTAAACTCTCTTACATTTTGGATCAGGTGCATGGCCTATCAATCAGAGTCATGAATGAATCATGTTAAATTCTAGTAACCTTTTCCACCAATCCCTCCTTTCCCTTTTGACAGAAAAGTATTTCAGCATAGTTTTTTCATTTTTGGTGCCAATTATTTTATTCCCTAAACTGAAAGCCTGATTAGTTACCCAACTTGTGGGAAAAAATCAAAACTGAAAATGTGAATAGTTTTTAAATAAATTCGAATTCAAATTTAGGAAGAAAGCTGACAAAAAGCTGCTTTGTCTCGAAACTGCTGGGAATTTAAAAAATGCTTTTTGGCAGCTTAACCCTATCCGTAGCCCCAGGGTCATTTTGTACCCCTGATGTTGTATTCTTCACATTTTAGAATACTTCTAGTACGAAGACCTCTTTGAAACATTCAGTATTTCTCAAAAAATCATTTTAACAGACTGCTATGCAAAGTGTACGGATTGGATTAAAGAGTAAATATTCTCTGTGGAAAGTAGTGGCACAGACTTCCCCACGTCATATGGATACAATAGTAAAACTCGACGTACGGATAGGGTTAAGGCAGAACTCATCAAATTTCTCCAACAAATGGTGGCCTGAGTCAGTCTCTCTCTCTCTCTCTCTCTCTCTCTCTCTCTCTCTCTCTTTCTCTCTCTCTCTCTCTCTCACACACACACAAACACACGCACACACACAAACATACACACACTCACTCACACACACACACACACACACACACACACACATTCACTCACACATATATTATATATTATTGTACATTTGCACACACTCATATATATTATTGTACATTTGCGCTCATTCATAGTATTATTATTTTTATTATTCATACACACTCTCTCAAACGTATGTGTGTTATAAACATGTACATGACATGTACATCTGTGCCTTCATACTAGTACGCCTACTCTGACTCACTGCCAGTGCAGATGTTGGAGTTCTGAAAATATTTACAGACCCTAGATCTAAACGCAAACGTTAGATCCACATAAGTTATAAATATAACAGGCTACTGTTTGTCTTGACTCTAAACTGTCATCGGAGGGTGGCCTTTCTTTCACTATTTTAAGACAATAAATACTATCTTTGGCGGGGTGATCCCATTAAATTCCTTTGTCTTTGATCTGATATACATGTGTAACATGGTTGAATGACTTCAGTGCTACAGTTACTGTCTTGAACAAGTTTTTTGATAGGCCTCTCTATCATGTGGGTGGCCACAGCTTAGGATTTATGCTCACAACTAGAAAATTTGAAAAATGTAAACATGTTCAAGAAGTTTTTATTTACCCCCATTTACAGATCTGTATTTTGCTCTGCTGCTTTTTTACTTGTTGTCACAATGTTTCCACTGATTCAAGTTCATCTTCTACACCCCCCCCCCCCCAACCTTCCAGCATTCGCATCTCAACAGGTGCTGTGTACTGCCTTGCCACCAACAACTCTTTCAATGACTACTTGAATTCCATTTACCAACTGGAGCTGAGACCAGACGACGGTGCCACAACCTCTGAGATACATTGAGATACTTTATTTTCCCATCAAAACATCAGATTATTCATCAATAATATACTTCATCCATCAAAACATCAATTTATTCATCGATAACATGTCTTAATCTGTCAGTACTGGGGTGCTTTACCTACCGTCAACCGGGGCTACTTAGGCTACTCGGGGTAATTTAGGCCACTTACAAAGAACGGTCCATACTAAGGAACAAAGAAACATGCAGCCTTTGAGTTCAGCAGGCCAAATACGAGCCAGATTTATGCCAGACTTGCTTGCATCAGCAGACACTTTCGTCTCAAGGTTTGGGTCGTAGTGGGCTAGAACTGGAGTCTCAGTCAGTGCTCCTTTGATTTTCTGAAATGCCAGTTGATGCTCTTCATTCCAGATCCAGCGACAGTTCTCTTTCTTCTGGAGCTCCCTCTGTGGCGCTGTCATGCTTGACAAGTTGTCAATAAATTTGCCAACCTGATTTACCATGCCTAATAGACGCCTAATGTCTGAGACGTTCTCTGGCTGAGGCAGATTTGTAATGGCCTCTATCTTATCTGGATCAATTTCAATTCCATTCTGTGGTATTATGACTCAGAAATTTCTTCTTATTTGTTGAGAACTGACTTTTCTCGTTGAGAGTGACATCGGCATCTTTCAGCTTTCGCAACACCTCTCTAACTCTGGCATCATGCTCTTATTTGCTGTTTCCGCTAATGAGAATGTCATCAATATTGTATATGACTCCTGGTATTCCAGAAAGAAGGTGCGACATCTCTCTGGAAAATTTCTAGACCGGATGAGATCCCGAATGGCATTCTTCTTTATGCAAACTGTCCAAAGGGGGTGATGAATGTCGTGAGTTCTTGAGACTCTTCAGAAAGGGGGACCTGATGAAATCCACTGTTACAGTCAAGCTTAGTGAAAACTGTAGCACCTGACACTTGAGCTAAAAGCTGTTCTGTAGTAGGCAAAGGGTAGTATTCTCTCTTCACTCCTTCGTTCAATTTAGTAAGGTCCACACAGATCCTAACCTTGCTCTCTTTCTTCGAGACCACCACGATGGGAGCACACCATTCGGTTGGTGAATCGATCTTCTTGATGATTCCATCTTCTTCAAGTCTCTTTAACTCGTGGTCCACTTTCTTGTGAAGGGGTAAGGCCAGTCTCCTGGGGTTGCCACTGAAAATGGTACTACATTTTCTCTTTTCTCGATTTTGTACTCTTTCTTTAGCTTTCCAAGGCCAGTAAATAATTCTGGAAATTCTTTCTTGAAATCAGAATTATGTTTCAAGACATTGATTCTCTTCAACAGGTTCAGTTTTTCTATTGCAGGTTTCCCAAGTAGCGGTTGTGGAAGATTTTCCAACACATAGATCTTCTGTTTGACACAATTTCCTGCATCCAATTTCGATTCTGCTCGGAATTCTCCAACAATCCTGAATTGTTCACCTGATTGTCCATACAGTCTCTTTTGGGATCTGCAGATCTTGGTGGTGTTTGCCGGGACACAACTTTTGGGGATAACCGTCTCGTTAGCACCCGTGTCTAACTTAAAGCCTATACTCCTTCCATTGACTGTGACATTTGCTTGCCATGGGTTTTGCTGTCCTGGTCCAAACACTGCTACCAAGTACCCCTCTTCTTCATCTTCCAATATGTTCACTCTCTTTCTGTATGGTTTCTTGGAAGTGGTTTTGGGAGTCCTACATACGTTTGAAAAGTGCCCTATCTTCGGGCATGAATGGCAAACTGCCTCTCGTGCCAGACATCTTCCCTTCTTGTGCTGACGTCCACATTCATGTGCCGGTATGTGGGGTTTCGGTTTTTCAGTGATTCTGGCTGCTTCTGTGCTCGGTTCGTTTTCCAAGTTTATTTACTTGTGGATCAGTAGATAAAGACATCGCCTGAAGCTGTGTTTTAGCTTTTTCCTGTGCTCTGCAAATGTCCAAAGCTTCACCCACATGAGAGCTTCTTAGAACTGTTCTAGAAGCTTTTCTCTGACGTTGTCATTTTGTATTCCAATCACAAGCCTGTCTCTAGTCATTCGATCTTCTTCGACAAAATTGCAACGTTTTGCCAGTTGGCGCAACTCTGTGACATATGAATCAACAGTTTTGTGCTGTTTCTGGGTCCTCTTGAGAAATTTGTTTGATTTGAACATCTCGTTGACTTTGCCAATGCTATACTCATTGAAAGATTTGATTATCTGATCTTGATCTTCTTTCTCCTCGTCTGAGAGCCTCATTCCATCATCGAGCGCCTCGTCTCCTATGCATGTCATGAAGACTGCAACTCAAAACTATTTTTTTTTTTTTGGATCTTCTCTTAAAATCTTGAAGCTACAAAAATTTATAAATTATTCAACTGCCTCTTGGATTTCAACCAGTTCTGGTGAATTTCTATTGTATTGGAGAAGTCCAATTTTGTTCGGGGTGGCAAATTTGCTGTGAATTGTTTTTGTTCTGCCATTGTCAGTGTAGACTCAACTCTAGATCTAAAATCTAGACTCTAGGTTCTATCGAGATCTATGGTTCTCTGACACTGTGGCTCTGAACCTAGATCTATATAGATCAATATCAACGGTAATAACACACCACTGTCTTTTCTGACACCATGTGGTGTTTTACCTTCTGTTAACTGGGGCTACTTAGGCCACTCGGGGTAACTTAGGCCACTTACAGAGAATGGACCGTACTAAGGAACAAAGAAACGTGTAGCCATTGTGTTCAGCAGGCCAAATACGAGCCAGATTTATTCGGGTAGTACAACCAGTTGTAGATGTCTAATACAATACCAGGTTGGTTAGTTGATTATACCACAATTACCATAAGTTTATCCTTCAGTAACATTGGTTTATCCTTCAGTAACGTTGGTTTATCCATCAGTACCATTAGTTTAACCACCAGAAGTTTATTCGTCAATACCATCAGTTTCTTACTTTCATTCCAATATATGTGTCAAGGGGAAGTTATGAAGTATAAATGGCACCATTATTACTTAAAACCCTTTTCCTCATACAGTACATTCTAGGCCAGTGATTTCACAATCTGCTCAATTGTTCTTGACATTCAAAGGTAGTCCCAGGCTCGGGATGTGAAGTGGTTAAAAAAATTCCATTGCATCTGCCTTAACGATTTATGATGCCATCTCAATACATGTGTACATTGCGAATATGATGATCACCTTTGTATTTATGCGTTGTACTCTTAGTAATTTTACTTAATCTACTTAAAGTATAGTTATAGAATTTTTGCCCTAGTTCAACAGTCAACTTCAAGGACTTTTGCACAAGATTATTTTTCCCTTGTTTTTTTTTCCATTTTGGTTAAAGTAAAAGCAGCAAATTAAATTTTAGATAAATCAGGCTTGCATTTTGTTTGATACAAGTCTTTTTGTATGAGCAGTTTATCTCTACTGGCCTCAGGTAAGGTTTTAAAAGGAGGGCCACTCATGGTGGGAGACCTGTGGTCATAATATCAGCTCTAAAGAGAGCAAGACAGAAGATACAGCGGATATATGAAGACAAGACCCTCCTGAAATCCAGTCAGTTTTGGCTTTACAAATATAAATGGCTCCCAGTAGGATGGCGGGGGGGGGGGGGGGGAGATAAGTCTTATTTGCAGTATAGTAAATGAATTCATATCTGATTATCAGCCTCCTTAGAGATCAAGGAATGGTGCTAGTCGGATAGGTTTTTTAGGGTTTGTGGATAAGGTGAGGGAAAATGTATTTCTCCTGGGTAAAAACTGTGTTCAATTCTACATGTTCTCGAATTTGAGCTTTGAGGAATCTTATCATTATCCAGACAGGAAAGGAAAATATACGTAATTCAGTCGGGTTGATGTGCAATTACTTGTTGTCTTCATTCAAGTTATGCTCATTTCTTTTTTGATCACCTTCAGATAAATTTCTTCTATTGTATCTTCATCATCACATCCATACTTGTATTATTTTGTGACTGCCGAGAATAAAATATGTCTGAATAGAGAGTTTATGAATGCAAACTCATTATCGTTAAAGATGAGACAAGACTAAACAAATTGTTCACAAGAAAACAAGCTGAAGAGGCTCTCTCTCTGGGGATATGACTTCTTTGAATACATAAATATATTCTACATCCCAGTAACCTAAGACTACTACTAAGACACAGTTTAGATCTCTGAGGCATAGTTTTATCACAGCCAACGTGGGCTCAACAAAATGCATCTCTGCAACAAAAAATGGTTACAGTCAGTTATAGTTATAAAATAAAATAACCTTTTCACGTGGGAATTGAAATTTCCTGATGACATTATTATCTGTCCCCCAAAAAATTACATCCTTAAAATGCAAGTCTGTATTTTTATATACTGCCATAAAAAAGTAAGAGTCATAAAAAAGTGCCAGATTTGAAACTGACATCGGTGATCATGGTTCTCCATGCATTTCTCCCCTTGATTGCTATATATATATTAATTGCAGTGGTCTTTTACTTTCACAGGTTTCAGAAACATCTTAGTAATGCAATATAATTAACACTGACAGGAAACTTACAAACTGTCGATAATGTGGGATAATTTGCTGTTCAAGTCATCATATAATGAGTGCATAATAATTGTAGCTGACTGCATTTGCATGCATTTCTTGTACATGTAATACTTAAATTGGACTCCTTTAATTTTATAGATTTCAGGTTATGACTTATTAATCTACAGTGCCTTTTAATTTAGAAAAGAAATGTGGAACTAGAAATTAATAACTTCAGGCCAGTTACTTTCACAAAAAAAGATCTCACAGGGCTCAGGGCTGGTGAAAACAAGGTCTTTGTGTAAAGTCTTTTCCCAACTGTCCGAAAAAAATGCATCTCGGAGAAATAATTGCTTCAGGGTTTTGAGTTTGAACGTGAAAAAAGCAAGGCAAGAAAAAATGGTACATATATCATTAATCTATTGGTCATTTGTAAAGCTTAAATCTTTACTTTGAGTCTTGCTGTTTGTGACTCCGACTCTAATGTTATTAGGTCATGTGCACATCACATTTCATGTGATAAATCTTTTTATGGAGATAAATGATCAAATTCTGCACATATCTATCTTCTTTTCAATATCATTACCCTCGTTACATTCATATTTGTAAAGTTTATATTGTGATGTACTTAAAAATATATATATTAATGAAATGTATAAACATGTTCGCTTTCCTTTTTTTATGTCCCTCACACATCACAACGTCAGTGCTTTCTTGTCATATTTCCATTTTTTTTTAAACAGTGAAAACTGCTCATAACAAAGAGTGAGCTTAATTAAGAAGTCACATTTCAATGTTTAAAAAAAATAGAGATACGACAAGAAAGCACTGAGGTCGCGACATGTTAAGGAGAGCTCACACCATGGGGATTACATGTTTTTCACCATTGTTGAAACAGTTTAGATCATGTAAAAGGCAGGATGCTTCAGCTCTACTGGTGACGGCCAATCCAGGCTGAGTAGCATACAGCATCCCAGCAGTCGGTGTGAGAACTAAACTTATGTCTTTCATGTGCCATGCAAACTACCTTGCCACTCCGCAATAGAATGCTGATAAACATCGAGGTCGAAGTCATAATATCCCCAAAACTAAATGACTACACTATGCCAGTTGCACAAGGTCAAATCACCCTATTTCTCTGAAAAAATTACGCCTCGGCATTTTCATGCAATATGTAACGGTGAATGCGTAGTGTTAACAAACCGCTCCGAGATTGCTCCTTTGATGAAGGCACCAATAGTGAACTCATCCCCAATTTTCACAAATCTCCACTCTGTTGTGTAGACTTTGGGAAGAATTCCCTACTGCAATATACCTTGTCATCGTTTGTGATTCAGGATTTTATGCCTTCACTTTACTGTTAGTTTCAAGGGATAAGACAAAAAGAATTAAAAAAGACACAAGCAAGGTCATTTAGTGCTTTTTTAAAGAAGTGCAAAGGGCATAGAAATAGAAACCATGGAAGGATAGTGAAGAAGTTGTACATACCAACTACACCCTTCCAGTTTTCTTGGCATGGAAGGACACTCAAATTATTTTTAATGAATTTATAACATAACATATGTGCCAGTAACCAGCGATGCGCGATGCAGTTGATTGGAGGGCATCACTAGCAGGCTCTGTTTCTTTCATCTCCACCATCAGCGGAATCTGTATGCCATTTTTCAAGAAGAATGACTGTTATGGTGCCAGTGTGTTCTTTTTTCCCAAGCTTAAGCTGCCTCTGTGGCCCGAGATATGCTGAAGCTTGTGTTTGGATCTAATTTTCTGTTTCAGTTACAAAGCTTCGACTTTGAGGCTTAGGGAAGGAAAAGGCCAAGGACGGAGGGGTGATCTAAATTGTGTTGATGGGGGCCATAAAACACCTACATTAAATAAAAGAAAAAGGTGTATCTCTGCAAAACTGCGGTACCACCAGACATTGCAACAGCAGAAAACAAAGCAAAATTAGAAAAATACGTCTTTTATTTCAAGTACAGTAGATTTCACCAGGGTTTACCTCCTTTAGAAATGTTCAGGATGTGAACACAACAGGTGACGTTGCATGCAATTAATAATCTTAACATTGTAACTTTTGCAAACAAATTATCCGAGTAAACTTTTGACACAAGAGTTGAAAACGGCCTTAACGGAAGGAGCGACTCTCGAGGTCCCTTTTCTGTTTGTTGCCCAAGGTCAAATTTAAATATAATATAAATTAGGCATAGAAAAACCTTTTCATACATACTTTTATTTTTGCATCGCTACAACGATTGCTATGGGAACGGCCGCCATCTTTAAAATAAACAACTAATTTCAAATCCCTACAGCTTTCTTATTGATTGAACAAATTTGACCAAACTTGGTGAAAATATATCTGAACCCATCCCTATCATTGTACCTGAGTATTTTTAAATAAGTGTTAAAAAAAAATAAAAAATTATGAGAATTTTCCCAATTTACGTAGAGTTTTTCTAAATTTTGGTTACATAATCCGTTGTCAATGGAAAAGAGTTAATCTTTTCGCAAATATCTCTGTGTTGCACTAGTACTAATAGCAGCCATGCCACCTATGTTTCCGAATAGTTTCAAGTCAAAGGGATGAAAACTAAGGAAGGAATAGGGGAAAACTGCAAAAAAATGACAGTTTGAGAAAAAAGACAATTATTGTGGAAATACACATTTTGACCCATCCTCCTAAATTCAAAGGCAATTTACCACGTGAATAACGATTTTCTCAATTGTCTCCTTGCTATTTTTAGACAGAAAACTCGTTGACCTTAAATTCAAGAATCAGCCAACATCTCAATTTGCATAGCTTGACCCAAAATCGACTCCTCCCGTTAATCCCTTACTTTTAGTAGTATTAGAATGAGAACAAAGAATCCCTATACCCCACCTTTCAACTTGTGGGAGTGTTTGTAAATAACAGTCAGGCAACAAAAAAAGGAGCAAGAGGATACAGGAATACAACAATATAAGTCAGGCTGCTCGACACATGAACTTCCTTCATTTACAACCCTATACATTAGAGCCTGTGACTCTCATACCTGGTACTCACGCGTGGACACAGCCTGGGAAAATAGTTGGACATTCATTTTTCTTTTACTCACTCAGTTCCCAGGTGATGAAAGTTAAAACAAATTTTGTCAATAATGAAAACACGTTGTATGGAGCTTAGATTACACCTTTTCAGATCAGATTCAGAGTAGATATGGGTATAATTTCTATTTATAGAATGAGTTTGCCTTTATACATGTAAAGACAGTAAGGTCTTTTAAGCTGTAGAATCTCCAAATTCAACACCCATCTTCACTATGACAGAGCCAAGTGGATGGAGAGCCTACAAAACACCCCTAACAACTGAAGTTCACCAATGCCTCACTGTGTTTTCGAACCACAGCTATCTATTCCTTCTTTCACCCTGCATGATACCAACTGAGCAATCAATACGCCTTTTGAATACAAATGGCACCCAAACTAACTGGAAAGGAAATATGTCTATAAATATGCTAAGTCATCCAATTTACCCTCCTGACTATGTAAGAGGGCAACCTCAGTGTAGATTTACCCCTTGTTGAGAACCTTGGTACTGAAGACTGGATTTCATAAACAAGTTGTAACAGAAACGTGCCAGATTGCTCCTTTCCTGCACTCGACCATCGGCCCTCTATGCGTTTATTGCGGGTCAGTAGGCAATACATTTTCATACACAATTCAGATAAAATCTGGCTAGTCACTATAGCGAATATATATTCATCAATTCTATTATTCAGTTATTCTTTCTGCCTTCCTTCAAGTCTTTGGGGCTGCTGAAAAATTTGTGCATTGATCAAGAAAGAAAAATCACATCTCATTGTAAAAAAATATGTTTAAATATTGAGTTCCTTTGGCACGGGTGACGGATTCTGAATTCAGTTTGGCAGTCACCCTGCACTCAAATCCACATTCAATATTAATTATTAGGTACCCTGAACGATGGCCCATAAATGTTTTTTTTTTTTTTAAACCCACACATTTCATTGCATCAACATTTTCACCTTCACTTATGCACACCCAAGCACATACACAAACGCATACAAAAAACATAATCACATAATAATGTCACTAAAAGCAAGTTCCACTCAGTGGCAACTAACTATTTGTACGGGGGAAATGTTTTTTTTCTTTCATTTCTTTGTATTTGTACTTTCTGATTTTTGGCCACACTACCTGAAATTGACCCTTAATCTTCCTGAAGTGCAAAATTCAGAGTGGACAGCCCTGGATACATCCCTTTATGATGATGAATGACAGCCCAAAGTTATCTTGCTCGCAGTAATACCAGTGGAAACTGGTAAACGATCCATCTCAGATAACATTATTTTATACAGGCTGGTTACAAATTACAGATAAAAGGTGCCTTTCAAATTAATCACAGCTTGACCAGACATGGTCACTCGTTGAGGGTCCACTTTCAGCCACATTTCTCCACCTCGCCGAGAGCACTGCCGAGCTGGGGAAAATAATTTTAAAAACTGTTTTGTAGAATAAACTTTTGTATACAGAACAAGTCATTTTGAAGGCAGAGTAATGAAAATAAAATAATAAGTAGCATTTGCATATAAAGCAAATTCCTGCTCAACAGCAAGCTCTGTGTGCTTTAGTCCATAGCCTTCTTTAATCTCCTAACAATACAGCTGTCTAAGAGGAAAATGCTTCACAAAGGGCAAGAGAACATCAGATGTCACTTCGACTCCAATGAGAAATTCCAACATATTAGTCAATTTCCTATTTGTGAAAAAACAAAATATTAAAATACTCAATATTTGTTTTTTAAAAGGCTCTAGATTTTACTTCCAACACATAAGTTTTATTTTTTTTAAATCTTGAACATATCATCCTTATTATGTCTCCTCCTCCTTTTATTTGCACGTTGCTTTCTTTTAACGCCTCTAATTTTTTACTCTAATATGACTTGACTGAGTTGCAAGTGCTGTAACACTGTTACTAAACCTCTTAGCATGAAACAAAAAGGACAAAGGATGAAGTAAAGGCAAAAAAGGTGCTTCTCCAAATCTCGATGACACAGAGACTATATAGCATGTGAGTAATACCCCACAGGCAGGGAAGTTTGTCCCATGTAGATAGGACAACATATCCCCCAACTCATTCATAGGTGTGGAGAAGACAGAATGCCACAACATAAAACACACACCACAATCACTAGATTTCAAGATAGAGCCAGAAAAAAATCCCTGGCATGGCTCTGAGTTGATAAGTGACAGAGTTAAAATTGTGTTTATTATTATATATATGGAAAGAAAACAGACGTCTAGGAGGAGCTTATGGGAACAAACTCAAATTGTAAATTCTTTTTTCTAAAAACAGAGAAACACACTAAAATGGAAAGTATTATATGTGAGGTTGAATGGTGAAAACAGGCGCTCGTCAAAACTAAGAAATCAGAGAAATCTGCATTTTTGTAGGTGTTGGGCAATTTATTTTTTTCCACACCTTTTATGTCGTCGGCAGATAATTCTAACCGTCTTAACTCCAAATTTTCTCGAATTGCTTTTTTCCTTAAAATAGATTGAGATAACGAATGGCTACGTCCTGTTAAAATCTAGAACAATTTTGACAAACAAAAGTCTTGTTTTAAAGAGAAATTCTAACCGTATATTCCGACTGACTTCCGTGACTGAAGAATTCTAACCGTCTAACTCGTTTAGGTAGTCCGCCATTGTGGATCATGGCGATAACGTTACGCTCTGAAGGAGGCGTTTGATTATAAATAAAATTCTTTTTTCCTTAAAATAGATCGACATGACGAATGGCTACGTCCTATTAAAATCTAGAACGATTTTGACAAACAAAAGTCTTTGTTTTAAAGAGAAATTCTAACCGTATATTCCGACTGGCTTCGGTGACTGAAGAATTCTAACCATCTAACTTGTTTAGGTAGCTCGCCATTGTGGATCACGGCGATAAAGTTTTGCTCTGATGGAGGCATTTGATTTTAAATAAATGTAAAATCAGAAAAGGTTGCTTTTGTTAAAGGGTTGGTTGACTGTGTCGAGCCTGTGGAGAAAAAGGAGAGAGAAAGCAGAAGATCGTGGTCCATGAAGTATCATCTGCGAGTGAATGGGGCCAGAGTCAAAGAGTGCATGGTTTTCTTCTTAAGTCCTGTACTTTGTTACTAGTGTGTTCACATTGTTCTCACATGTGGATTGGGTGTAGCAGAGGGTGAGGTTCCAGTTCAGAGAAAAAGGGTTAGGGATGAGACTACAGCATCAAAGGTACTTAAACAGTTTCTTCGTGATCTGCCCAAGTTGCCGTCTCACTATTGCCGAGGGACTCCAGTAAGTTATACTTGGAACCTGTTTTCCAGAGCTTACAGGCAGTGTACCGCCGTTTGTATAAAGAAAAGTATGAGTGGGGGGTGGGGGGTGGTACTTTCTACCTTCAAGTTTAAAGAGAAGATCAATGCTATGAACCTGTCATGGTTCCATCCTCGAAAAGATAGGTGTGATCTTTGTGTGGGCTTTGAGGAGGGGAATGTGGAAGAGGGAGCATACAAAAAAGACAATAGACAAGGAAAAATGCATGGGCAGCCCCAAAATCAAATACATGTACATCAAAATGGACCAGCAATCAGTTCTGCTATATCCACACACCAATGCTTCTGCTTTGTACTACAAGACGAAATTGAATGTACACAATTTCACAGTATAGGAACTAGAGAGCAAGGACTGTGTATGTTATGTCTCAAATGAATGCGAAGGTGCTCTGACTGCAAATAAATTTGCTCCTTGTGTGGCTGATTTTTTGTCATCTGATTTGACTCCAGATCATTATATTCAGATGGATGTGGTTGTATCAGAACTGCAAAGTCACAATGAGTTCTGCACTGTTACATTTCAGCTCTGTCAATGGTAAAACTGTAACATTAAAATTCCTGGAGAAGGGCTATACACAGATGGAGTTGGACAGTGCTCACAGCACATCTACTACCCAGCTGATTATGTCAGGCTAATGGAAGAAAGTAGAAAAATGAAGCCATTTCTTTTCTGATTTCATCAAACTAACCAACCAGAGTTTACACACCAGATGGTCAAATTAAATACAAACTGAGATTTGATGATCACTGGTCACATCTGCCTTTGAAGCATTGCGAGTCCACAGACATTCTCCATAAAGACATGAAGGGACTGCCTCTGTACCAGGGTAGAAAGTTTAATTCGTCCATAGAGAACTTTAATAACACATGCAAGAAAAGAAGTCTGTTGTGCCATCTGACTACCACAAGTTCTGTGACAATCTAGAATTGAGTACGTCACCAGTGCGCAAGTCAAAACCCACGGTTAAGTCTAATTTGATATGCAGTGTATTGTGTTTTGGTTTATGTAGTTTATTTTTAGCCAACCAGAGCTTTAGCTACATTGGGTAGAGCATTTTAAAGCCTCATAATGGTGCTTGGACAAGAGGATAATTCATTCCTGTTGACACTGGATGCTGCTATGGCATACCTCATCTTGATGACTTTCTATGTAAAATGTGTTATTTAATTAGGCCATACATTAGTTGGGGATGCATTATATGAGGTTTAGTTGAGCTTTAAAAAAACCATATTACTTTTAGAGTCTTCCAACCAAGTTAAACCATGTTTTTAGAGTTAGAAGCATTTCAGTTTCTTCCACTGGAGAACTGATGGGTCGCTTTTCAATCTTGCTCGACTTCGAGCCAAGACCAAAATCAACAAACCAAACAAAAATACGAGACCTTTTCTTTGCCGGTGATGCTGCTGTTGTCGCTCATAATGAATCAACCCTACGAATAATCCTGTGTTTAAGAAGATTGAGATGGCTGGGCCATGTCAAGAGAATGGACGACAACCGGATTCCGAAGCAATTTCTCTATGGACAACTTGCCCAGGGAAAGGGACCAAGGGGAAGGTCAAAACTGAGGTACAAAGACATCTGCAAAAACAGATTATCTAAGCTTGGAGTAGATGTCAGCATCTGTGAGGAAATAACCGAGGACAGGAAAACATGGAAGAAAATTATAAATGAAAGACCTATTATGCTAGTGACTAGAGAGCAAGCACTGCGACAGAATCTGTACTTCAAACAGGAAAAATTAGCCATAAAAGAAGCTCCATGAAGACAATTCGTATACGGAAATTCTTCTCTGCCCCCCCCCCTCTCTCTCTCTCTTTCTCTCTCTCTCTCTCTGTCTCTCTCTCTCTTTCAGACCCCTCCCCCCCCTCTCTCTCTCTCTCTCTCTGTCCCCCCCCCCTTCTCCCCCTCTCTCTCTCTCTCTCTCTGTCCCCCCCCCCTTCTCTCTCTCTCAATCTCTCTCTCTCAGTCCCCCCCCTTCTCTCTCTCTCAATCTCTCTCTCTCTCTTCTCTCTCTCTCTCTCTCTCTCTCTCTCTCTCTCTCTCTCTCTCTCTCTCTCTCTCTCTCTCTCTCTCTCTCTCTCTCTCTCTCTCTCTCCCTCTCTCTCTTGTAGCTAGACAAGAAACCAATCCTTCTCACAATTTCCTTGAGAATGGAGGATCAAATAGATCTAGTAGCTTTATAGTAAAAACTTAACGACGCACTCAATCTGTCGACAAGCCCATTGCCTAATTAGAATTATGTGGAAATAAAGTGCGACGTTCAGTTTTAGATATAATAAAACAGTATTATTGTTAGATTCTAGATCTACAGTACTATGTAGTACTAATTAGAACTTTTATAGTAGGCTTCCTGTTGGATTGACTGCAGGTGTAGTCATTTTGAGTTGTTCGGTAACACTAACGTGTCACGATGACTGAGTTAGACGTAACGAAGCGCGTGGCGTCCCCGCCGGGTTGGAGAATTCTAAACGAACAATTCGTTCGTCGACACTTGGGCGGTTAGAAATCCAAAACTGAGTGGTCTATCCGTATAACTCTGGTTTAGCACTTAAAATAATAAAATTTCGGCAATTTTGTTTTAAATACTTAAAAGTATAGTCATGTATTCCAGTCTAGCGCATTTAAAGATAGTAAATCCCCATAGGAGCCTTTGAATTCAGTTTTTTGTCTCTCCTGCAAAATTTACTAAATCGGAGTTGGACGGTTAGAATTCTCCGCCGACGATGTCCTTTTAAAAACACATTTCTGAGTGGACATTGATTAAAGGTGAAAAAAATTAAAATTTTTCCAAGGACACTTAAGCTTTGGGAAGTCACCAAACTTTGATGGACATTTTCTTGCTGATTTTATCTCTCACATCAGGTGATCCCCACCTCCTTCAATTGCACGACTTCTATTTAAGATACCAAATCTTAAATCTTCTATTTAAGATACTCGTAAATTGATATTCTTTTCGCCACATGCAAGACAATAGTATAACCATATATGCCCAAAAATTGACGAACGCCTGATTCCACTGTGTCGTTACAAGCATACTGACTCCTTCATACAAAACAAAAACAGGAAGTACAGCCATAATAAGCAGCTTACCATACATCTCAGTTTTCCCTAATTCCTTTGCCCAGTAAGCACCGGCCACCGTGTGCCATGAACCTGTTGTGGACAGCATTGAAAGAATAAATTTACAGAAAATTAAAATATATAACTACTATCAAGAAGCCAATAATGTTGTCTGAAGTTAACAATGAGTCACCAAAATAGCATTTCATTTGGTGGGTTTTTTTAGATTAACTAGGAGTTTTTACGTTGTTTGCAACTTTACTTTTCCTTTTCCGATCCAGCGGCCATTTGGGTTCTAGCCCTTCGGTCTGTCGATACAGCAAAGAATTTACAGCTGTGCTTGGTCGCTGTATAGAGTATTTCCGATGTCTGGGGAGGCAGGTAGGTAGGCACTACGCAGGTCGCAAAGTGCTGGGCAGTTAAAGAGGTGGTGTGGTACTGTTTCATCCTGGCAGTTGCACAATGGGCAGTCGGGTGGCATCCTTACGGATCCTATTAAGGTAGGAATTTAGTGGTATGTGTTGTGTTCGCAGGGGAAATATCGTGACTTGTTCTCTTCTACTCAGAATGGTGTTTGCAACACAATAAGTTCATATATAATTGCCGAAGAATAAAGATGTTACAAGAGAGTAGCAAACACACAAAAAAGGGGATATATATCAGGAAAATATATACTTGATAGGAAAGAAGGAGCATTCCATACCAGAGCACCCGCAAACCATCGAGTGAGGAAAACAACATAAACCCTGAAAAGGGTGAGGGTTGGGGGGAGGGGGTCTATTTTTTTTTTTCGAGAAGCTGTATCTGTCTTTCTGCTGATACACTGTCTCTCATTCAGAGCAGGTTCGCCCTGACAGGCAAGTTTAAAGCAGCCCATCTCCTCACGGAACTAAATTGTGTCATTTACAATCAATCATTACAAGCATCAACCTACGTCTTTCTCAGTAGTAAAGTCACAGACTTCAAACTTTTTTACTTGAAGAAGAAAAGCACCATCCAATATAGCATCAAACCCAGATTTTAAAAAAAACATATTCAACTTTTTAAAAAGTGAAATCAATGACCCAGAATTAAAAGAACAAGAGTTTCCAGTATTTAAAAAAAAGCAATTTAACTTCCATTCTCTAGTGAATCTAACCATGTAGACAGCTCACCTGTGACTGGGTCCTCTGGGATTCCAAGCCAAGGCGCAAAATATCTCGACACAAAATCGTAGACATTGCCATCCCTGTCCACACAGCCATTTTCACGTGAGCCTTTGATTGTGATGCCAACTCCTTTGATTTCTCCTGTATTGTAGGTAGGCACCATTTGCCCTATCAGAGGTTCTAGCTTTTCAAGAGCCTCCCTGTGATGTAAACATTTAAAGACACACATGATTGCTCTAAATATCTCTGCCATATGTGAGTCACAGTCAGAATGAAACCATTGTGAGCTGAAAATAAGATCTATACTTTTCTGTAATAGAAGTAAGACTTATGGCTATTCACTGGCTGTGTGTAGGAGTACACTATCAGGAAATGAGGTCATCCATATATTATTAAATACCTATCACACAAAGCAATGAAAGCATACAATGGGTCACGTTCCTTCTATATGTCAACATTGCTTGAAACATAAAAGAAAAAAACCTATATGAATCATGTGGTCAGTTCACAGATCAACATAATGTATTGAATCCCAAAACAACTGAGCTTGACCAAGTTTGATCTGAAATTACTTCCTTGGCAGTATTTCTGTCAATTAAAAGTAAGACTAAATTAAATACATTTTGGTATTTGAGACTTGTTTCCAAAGAAGATACAAATTTTCAACTTTAAAATACTGAATCATTACTTTTAGTAAACCAGTCTGCACAACATTTTTACTACCACTACTCTGAACTTGGAGAGAAGAAGTAAAAGCCATGAAAGAAAACAGTACAACCCATGATAGAAAAATTACTGCAATGAGATGAAATGTCTCCTCAATACCCTAAATATCACAAGAAGAGAAAGGCACAAAAATGAAAATGTAAGAGCAACTATTGGCACAGATTCTTGTCTGTATTTCATAGAAAAACAACGAATAAAATCGTTTGGGCACTTTTTACAAATGTCACCTAGTCAGCCAACCTCAAGAGCCTGTAACACAAAGTACTCAGACTACAAGGGAAGGGGTAAGTAACGCAAAAGATGGATTGAGGGAGTAAAGGAAACCCTGAGAAACTATAAAATGCTCAGTTGAAAAAGCTGCAGAGTTGACCTAACATAGAAAACTACAACTCCCTTCCACACTCAATAGCAACAGAGGATGAAAAAGTAAAATAGAAAAGTAAAGATTTTTTTATTGCTCATCACAAAAAATGAAGCATGTTGTTGCCTGAAGCGAGACTGGGAAAAAGTCTCTCACAGTTTTATTAAGAATGTAAAAGCTGCTGACAACAAGCACAGGGGAACAGATAAATTGATGTCTTTCTTCTGATATAGACAACAGTCAATAGAGATCATATTATTTTACAGATTAAGTACTTCTAATTTTAAGAACAAGATGCCTAAAGAATAAGATTAAACAGTTGTGTGTATAATCTAAGGAGTACCGTAGGCAAGAAAAATATCGGCTAGCGGGAAGTTTCAGACGAATCTGATGAAAATTCAAAGCACTTAAAATTGAAAGCCAGTAAGGGCATATATTTCTAACCAGCAAAGACCATGAAACATGATATTTCAGTATTTACTTTTCTCTGTAAATTAAGTAAACTAGTATTAATCAACTTTTGACTCATGGTAAACAAATGTGTGGCCTGTTGGAAAAATGACTTACTTCTCACCATCCGCAAATGGAGATATCGTCCAAAAATCAGCATAATAAGGATTAAATTTGCAGATTTTCAACTCATGCCTTTTTCTTCAAGTTTAACATGTCTTTTGTCAATTTGTACAGATAAATTATTCAAACTTTGCATATAAATTTGACTTACAAAGCAAATTATCCCAGGAAACCGTCTAGTACTGCCTTAGTCTAGTCGTACACCTACCTGGTAACATCATCTCTTAGCCGTATCAGAAGTTTCCGTGTTGTATTACTGAGCTGCACATCCTGAATAAGTCCCAAGTCACCAACACTAATCTAAACACAAGAAGAGGTCAAAGTCAAACTCAGAGTCGTTACTGACATTTTAACTATTTCAGCATCTATGTTATGGATAAAAAGCCATGCATACCCTCAATATCACATAAAATATCAACCATACCTATCTGAACACAGCATTTAGGGGCATCCTAGTTGAGCCAGAAAGTTGTCCGACTTGAAGTACGAAAGTTTTAAGTTTAATCTCGCGTTCCATCAGGTAATAATAATAATAATAATACATGGCATTTATTTAGCGCATTTCCATAATATACTATGATCCATGTGCTTTACAGAACTTTGTATTATTAAAAAGGGTGCCCAGTTTTCCTCAATTCACCAAGCTGTAAATGTTTGCTTGGTAATAGATAGATACAAAATATATAAACAAGAAAAGTACACATCTTACAGCCTGTAATGCTGTGTGTTCCCCAAGGGTCCAAAACAATTACTTGGAAAGAACTGGCCAGCCAAGGGAGTCATTGTGAAGTCACATAAACCTTCAGGAGGATAGGCTACTACAGATGAGCAATTTTAATTAACACCAGAATCAGATCAACCAATAAACCTACAAAATCAATCAATAGCACACCCACTATCTACAACTGTAGCTGCTTTGCCACCACCTCCTACAAAATTCTAGCATTTCCTCTTCCAAAACCCAAACCTGCAAGATCCTTGAAAATAACTTCTTCCTCTCACCTCAACCAAGACAATATCCTGCACAGCCAAAAGGGACATTGGGATATTCAGCTTTTACAACATGGCATTAGCTAGAGAGGCATGAGCCAGAATGATGCACTATTAGAATGATGTCAAGGGGCACAAAGAAAAAAAATTACCTAATACGTAATTTAACATATTATGAGAAAACAAGGATCAAATGAGAAATCTGAATTCCAACTTACCTTTAACAAATTCTTTATATCGTCTTGGTCCTACAGTAAAAAGAAAAATGATTGTATACGTTTGTGCCATCACATGTTGAGACACAACACCTTCAAAAACAAAACAAAAATGGCTTACAGTTTCTTAGTTTATAAAAAAAAAAAACGGACACATCAGTTTGAAACAAGAAAATCAGAAAATTAAGAACATAATTTTTACTCATACTTGTCAAAAATAAAATGGGAAAGTTAAAGCTTTACATTTCTCTTCAGGCTTTGCGTAAAGAAAAAGAACGGTCTCTAGAAAAAGAACACAAAGAAGAATGGCAAGAGGGGGTCATCTTCCTCGAATATAGTCCACTTAGGGTCTCCAACCCACAGGGAAAACAGGTTCCTAACATACAGCATGTATTCTGAACAAAGCAAAGTTTCCTTGGATTCAGGTAGCGGTGCCACATTTTTTAAGGCACGTTCAAATAAATAAAAACTGACAGTTTCTTAATTTTTTTATTGGAAAAAATCATATATGGAATTGTGCTGACTAAATCAAACTATACCAGCTCTTTTCCATTTTTCAACAGTTGAGATGTCTTAAACGTGTCGAGCAACATGCACATGGAATTCTAGTTTTTCATTCTTAACCAAGAAGATCAAGATGCCTGATTCCTTATACCTTTGGACCAGGAGCGTCAGAAATATGATCCAAAAAAGAAACTATTAAATCTTCAACATAATGGCAGGAACCAGAATTGAACCCTAGCTCTCTTGTAGTCAAGGGATCACAGTATCTCCAGTTTACAAAAAACCTCCCTCAAGGGATACAAGATTTTACAGCTGCTGAATCTGCGTAGGAAAGTTATACAGCATATATTTTACTCCAATAATATCAGAACAACTTATGAATAAATCAAAGACCAAAGTATTATCATTAAACATCACCCAGTCTTACCCTGGGGGAAGGGGGGTTCAAAGGAAAATTCAAAGACATCTTGTTGCCAGATTTTGTCACATATAAAGGTCCACTCCGAGAAGCAAACTCCAACCGTTCACTTTTGTTTCCTGAAACCAATATGAAAAAAAAAAAAAAAAAACTCGCGGAGCTGGAAATCAGGCAACATTTTTAAAAATACTTGCACAAAAAAAAAATGTAACATGTTTCTTATTACTAAAACAAAGAGGTAAGATGAATCCTTAATTCTTTAAAATTTAAGTCAAGTTGCTTCTTCCATAGTGTTTACTTTTATGACTTGTCTCACAGCATGTTTTCTCTTCACTCTTTCAGTGCCAAGGATAGCCAGCATCACTATCATTTATTCCAACTCAAAGAAATATATAAGTATATTTGATTTCATCTCTGCACTTAGAATTCTTTTTTTTAAACCATTATTATAACATTTTCTTTGGTACAGAGAAAAGCAAAGTCTCTTCAGAAAAATGTAAAATTAAGGCCAAGCAAAGGAATCATTGCCCAGTTCACTTACCCCTATCAAAGAAGAGTACAGCTGCAGATGCCAAAGTAGCATGGCCACAAAGATCTACCTCTGACGTTGGGGTGAACCAACGTAAACCAAACTTAGAGCCTGAAAAGACAAGAATATATATTTGTGTCATGGTTATCAAGCACTCACCAATTTTTGGGCATATCTAAGAGTTATTGGTATCATATTACGCTTGGAGTAACTATTAATAAGAGAGGCCACGAGTCGCGCAACGTGAAGCCGCTGCAGACGACGGTCGGCCATGTTTGTGAAATTAGCTCAGTTCTCTCAGTTGTAAACTTAGTGTCAACCGAATGGCAGATTGCGTAGCATTCGGGTCCGGTGGGCCTCTCATTCGAAGGTCCTGGGTTCGAATCCGAGTAGTGACGTCTGCTTTCGTCTCCACTTTCTGCCCCTACCTCCTCAGGGCTTCGCACTCTTTCTGCAGCCTTTCTACTGCTACTCCTTGGCTCCTTCTTACCTCTGTCTTTCAGCCACACCCCTGATCTTCTGGTAGGAAAGATCTACCCCTAGCCTTCTTGGACAAGGGCGAAAAAATCTGGGAGGCTCGACAGAGGTCACGTATGCAAGTTGCGCAAATTAAAGGTCCTTTGGTGGTCTAAAATCGATAAGAGTAGGCTTCGGTCGCCACCCGGGCAAAATTCAAAATTTCCTACCAACTTAAAATGTTTAATGTGTCCCTCGCACTTATATGACTTATGCAGTTGCGAGTGCCGTAAAACACTTATAAGGCCTACGAAAAATGTTTTTAAAAATATCAGTCTCTAGCAATGGCACTGAACTTGATGACAAAGTGCCTTCTGATTTAGCCGTAAATGCATCTCACAGTAAAAACAGAATGAAAAAAAGATTGCAGAAAATTCAGTTTGCCATAATGATAACTGCACGTTTGTGCCTAGATCTAGTCTGGTATACTTGTCAATTTACTCTGAGAATACTGTTGCTTAAATGGCTGGTTTTGTGTTGTTAAGGTTTACAGAGCATTTGAAAATGTGAAACCTTCATCGGTGCCCTAGTTGACTCCAGTGTGTCAAATGTAACTTCTTTGCTGTTTTTGAAGTCTCATCGGAGGTTTGACAGTGCCTTCAAAGACTGTCATTGAAGTGTGTTTGGTGTGTGAATAACAATTAACATTTTCGATGTCATGTGTAGTCTGTCTGTGCAGGGGGTGTGACATTGTCAAAAGAGAAATGTCACAAATTAGTGCAATCTGTCTTGGAAATTCTTATTATTATAAGCCTATCATCCTTATTATATTACAACTGTGCGTGAGTGCTTATAATGCTGTAATTAACATTGACAAAGAAATTTCGAGAGAAAATGGAGTCCGAGCAGCTTGTTTTGAAAGGAGATTACGCAGCGTACGCTGCATTGTTTTGAACTTACAAAGATGGCAGCAGGCCCGATAAGCTCCGCCCTTTCGGCTTCAACTTGGTTGGAACTGTTGAGCAGGCGACGCAACGTTAGGGCCTCTCCCTATATAGTTACTCCAAGATATTACGGCCTGTTCACTCATTTTGCTTTTGATGAAAAAAAAAAGTCCACCCATCTTTTTTTTTTCAGTAGTTGAAATATTAGAGATTGAAAGAAGAGAGGATCGCCTGGTGTCAGCAGTAAGATTAGCGACAAAATGGTCGCCAAATTTGGTGAACTCTAAAGCTTGCATGTCTTTGGAAACTACAAATTTACATTTTCTCTGCCTTTGATCGACATTTTGCTGTAAAATCCATGCAAAAATATATTTTTAACTCTACATAAAAAGTGCTGAGCCAAAAAAATAACAAAAAAGAAAAGATAAAAATGACCAAACAGACAAAACAACAGTCAGTTTCTTAGAGTTCATTATTTTGACGAGCACCTGGTTTCAACGCGATGACACACATATAAAGTGATCTTTAATTCATCAAATTCATTAATTTATTAGTCATTTAAAAACAGCAATTCATCAAGATCTATCTCTTAAGTCTAAGGTCAGACTGGACCCTTGAAAACTAAAACTGGAAACAATAAGACAAGCAGAGTACCAGTAAAATCTCTCTCTCTCTCTCTCTCTCTCTCTCTCTCTCTTTATCTATTTCTCTGTCTGTCTGTCTCTTTCTCTCTCTCTCTCTCTCTTTTTTTTTCTCCGTTCCCAAGTAGGCCTACTCACCATTCACAAAATCGCCCCCATTCTGAGGGACAACAAATGAGGTTTCTGAGAGATTCATTTCTGCACCCAACTTCAGCCTTTCTTCATCATTCAGAACCTGCAAAAGAATCTCAGCCATTATAAATAAGCACTCTTGTAAGCGTTCAGTTTTGATTTAGAGGTGCGGTTGGTAATTCACATGTAACGCATAAGAATTCACTTTCATTTGTGTAGCATAAGAGGGGGAGGGGGGGTTAAAGGGAAGCGGGTTATTGTTGCTGGGTTTTTTTTAACTCAGCAATTAAAAAAGCATGAAAATTACTCTATGCAATTAGGCTTTATAATATCGAAGTGATAATTTCTCCGAAAAGCTCGGGAAAATAAACTTGATCTCTATTTCTCTTAACGGTTTCCGTTCTTTTTTGGGGGGGGTTATTTGTGAGAGTTCAGCGTCATCTTCCATTCTGCAATTCTGCTAGGACTGGGAAGAAGCCTTTTTTTTTGCATCGAATTCAGTTTCTAGAGCTAGAGATTTTTAGATGTCTGAATATTCAGATCATACTTCATTAATATGTGGTAGGGGCAATGTTCTCGGGACTAAATAGGTTACTGCCAAAGTCGAGCAGTCTTGTTTTCTCGCAGTACCTTTTGAAGGCATTTCCAAATGAGGTATAGTCCCGGAATGTTGCCCCAACTACAATTCAAGTATCTGAATATTCAGACAACTAACCGACAAAACTCGAGAACGGAAACCATTCGGAGAAATAGAGTTCAAGTTTATTATCCCGAGCGTTCAGAGAAATAGTCACTTCGTAATATTTGTGTAAAACGGTACAGATGAACCTAAACATAAGGCTGGAGTGAAAGTTTAAAAATACCTAATTACGGCTTACTGTGTTGTAAATAGATCTGGATCTAGTCTAAAGTAACAATAACAATAATATAAACAAAAGATGTAGACAATATATTATAATAGAACGGAGTGTCTACGTACACGGTAACTGGACACCTAGTCTCAGTACTTACGTACACGGTAGGCCTAACTGGGCACCTAGTCTCACTTAGTCTCAGTATCTACGTACATGGTAACCCGGCACATAGTCTCAGTATCTACGTACACGGTAACCGGAATGAAAATAAATCAATATTTGTCCTGTGCCGTCACTTGCTGAAAAAAAAAGATTTAAGTCATTAAAGCGTCATGTCGGGTTCGCCATCGTAACCAGTCAGTGAACCAGCGCGTGAGCATCACATTGTGAGTACCAGTTGGGTCACCAAAGTTCATTCAAAGTCTGCGCGCTGCGAAGTATATATGGCTACGGAATGGGGGGATTATTGATTTTTTTTTTTAAGGTCGGGGGAGGGGTGGGGATGAAGGCAACACTGGTTACCGTGTATGTGACACTGAGACTACATGTCCGGTTAAAAATTACCAGTTACCGTGTACGTAGATATAGAGGCTACATGCCCGGTTACTGTATACACGACACTGAAACTACGTGCCCGGTTGCCGGTTACCGTGTACGTAGACACTGAGGCTAGGTGCCCGGTTGCGGTGTACAGACACTCCAATAATAATCATAAGAATCTAGCCTAGTATAATAATAGGCCTGTAATCTGTAACCCATCGATGTCATGGTACCATATAGTCAACAAGGAATGTACATACCGACTCTGAATCCAGTAAACAAACCGCAGCAGGGTTACCAGCAAATGGTTCGCCCGTGAAGGCATCGACAGTGTAGATAGGAATGCTCCTTTCTTCGCCAGACATTTTTCTTTCAAGCTTCGACGACTGCGGACAGAAGATTGATTCACTAGATCTAGAATCTAGATCTAGAATCTAGACCTAGATCAAGATCTAGATCTAGATCTAGATCTAGAATCTAGATCTAAATAAGATCTCAAGAATACATTGCTCGTTGCGTAATTAAACCATGTTTATAAAATAAATAATAAATCTGCATCTCTAAATTAAATTAAATATACCACTATACTATCTTGCACATAACAATCTCAAAGAAATGCCAACTTTACCAGCTGAGAAGACAACGCTCTTGGGCTCGGTGGGCAGTGGGCAGTTGGCAGTTCACTTGGCCGCAGAAGAAGTCCCTGACCTTCTGATCTGCCACACGGCCAGGTATTTTTTGTCATCACAACATTGCGTGTTGGCTGGGTGAAAGCGAAAGCGAAAGTACGTTTTAGATTCGCACGTGAAGCCTTTCACTTTTTATAGCTTTCTCATTATTATATAATTATAATATTATGTCAAGGAGTTTGTATTATGTATAGAAAATCTAATACGATGTAATAACAAACGTAATAATAACATCAATTATAACCATAAAGACAGATAAATAATAATAATAATAGTAATAATAATAATAATAATAA